TGCTCTCTCATTTATTTGGCTTTGAGACTTGAACCTGCTGTATGTTCTGATGTAGCTATTTGAATAGTTTTGTTAGTAGCACTTTTAAGTTTTACAAGACATGTAAAATATGTCAATAAAACATCCCAACTGCTAAGAAGCCCTTACTTAGTCACATCCAGGCTTCCAGAATTGAAGTATTACACAGTAGGACTTCTTAGACTCTTCCACATAGTATTTTAAGATCAGCTTAAGCAGGAACATGTCAGGCCCGGTAGAATATAATAAAAAATATAAGCCCTTAAATATTTTCTGTATGTAGCATGTTGAGGAAAGAGAAGGAGGATGTTGTGATTTTAGTTGCACTTTATTATAAAGTCAATGATGTAGATGTACATAAATTTTAATAATAAAAAACCTTGTATCTGCTTCAAATGCGAAGAAGGACAGTGGATTAAAATATCTTATTTCCTCCATTCTTCCTCCCATAAAGATAAAAATCTCCTGAGAAAACCACTTTTTTAAATAATTGTTTAAGACCAGACGACATAAAAACATTGAGCTTATTTTATAAATCAAAAAAGTATCAGTCATAAAAACATTTTAAGAATTTTTATTGCACAAACTTTAGAATCTCAATAAAGAGCATCTTGGAGGTGAATAAAGAAGCATTTTGCTGGCCATAACATTCCTTTGAACAAATGTACTTGCCACCTCTATGCTCTCTACACCTCATCCATTGCTTTGCTGCACCATTTAGCACCTTACAGTAATTTGTTCATCTTTCGGAGGTGGAGACTCCACAAGGAGCCAGTGTCTTTGTATCCCAGAGCCTTCTCTAGTTCATAGTACGTGACAGCTCCTCAAAATGTGATGAAAAGATGGGGATGAGACTGTTAAAATTGTGATGTTTAAACTTAGCAGGTTAGATCAGAGTTAAGTTTTTTGCTTTTTTTTTTCTTATTTCAGACCCAAGCTCTAAACATGGGAAGTTAAATTAGCACAAAGAAAAGAAAATGATGAAAGGGAGAAGTACAGTAGTTATTTAATTGCAACATTAAATTCTAATCATGTCCTTTGTAAAACTATTTTAGAAACTTCAGAATTATTAAAAGTATGGCACTTCGGGGACCAGCAGGTGGCGTGTTGGTAAAGGCGCTGGACACTCCCATATGGCCGACTGCGGTTCGAGTCCCGGATCTGGCGACTTGCTTTCCCACTTTCTCTCTTCTCTCTCTCTCTCTCTCTGTCTATCTCTCTCTGGTCAAATTAAAATAAATGAATGAATAAATAAAATTGAATAAATAATTCTTTAGTAAAAAAAGTATGGCACTTTAAGGAATATTGAAAGTCATCTCTTATAACCTATTTTACAATAAAATAATCTCTATAATCGTATACAAATAGATTAATATACATATTTGTGAAGTAGGGAGAGGGAAGAGCACAAGAACTTATAAGTAGCTTCTTTTTCTAGTAACTGAGAAAATAAGTCTTAGAGATTTTTTCTATAGATTTTTTTTTAATGGCTCTCTTCACAGAACTAGAGATGTTAAAGATAAAGTAGGGTGTTAATTTGATGCCTTGATATCCAGTCAGAAGTCTCTTCTTTTTTTTTTTTTTTTTG